CGACCCTGTCAAATTAGGACCGACCCAATTATTATTTTTTGTTCCCTTTTAGTCCGACCGACTTGCCGGTTGTAAACTTGCATTAAGACCGACCGATTTTTTTTTTTACTCTTCAAACACCTAATACAAATGCAATAAAATAATATAAATTTATTATATTAAGTATTGTGAATATAAATTGTGTAGGCTACGTTCTTTATTTTAAATAAAAACCCGTGGCGTCATCTATTATGATTATGTTTACACCATTGGTTTACGCATGTCACACTATGGCCTGTGCGTTCGCTTCGTTTCATTCACTGTCAATGGTTCGCGCTCGGTGATGATGGCTGCGGCGCGGCTGCTTGTGAAATATGTCTGTATGAGCCTACATTTAGTCGCTCATTATTCGAAATTCTTAATGGTAAAAATGGGAATAGGAGAATAGGGAATCTATGTTAACGGGCTTTTCTCGGAGCGCGTCCAGCTCGTCACGATATGCCCACCGCGAACGCGCGTCACACAGCAACTGCAGGCTCTGACAAACAAACACACATAAGTATGGGAAGCCAAACACACCGAAAGGGGGACGAAACGGCGCGGTGTGTTACAGAGTTCGCGCTGCGCTGACTTGTAATCTGCGTGGCTCAATGGACCGAGCCGCGCGAGTCGCGACAGACTCGACAGCGCAGGGAGAAGTGTTTGCTTGCGCCAGCCAATGGTCAGCGCGGCGCGAACTAATCTCACCAGTGCCGCGCTGACCAATAAAACAGCACATCCCATACCGAAATGTACTAAATTGCACAAAAGAAAATCGACCATTTCATAATATGTCAGGACTACTTAATCGGGCTATAGTTTCCTACAATGCGCCTAGCCATTTGACCTCACTGATTTCCGTTTATAATAGCAGATGTTTATGGGTCAAATCTCACACTCTCTCCCTGCAACTTTTCGTTACCCTCCTTTCCAGACCCTAGACCAGAAAGGGGGCTTGTAACAGTATGGGTCAAATGTAAACGAATGGTGCCAAACGCGCTGTTTTATTGGTCGGCGCGGCGCTGGTGAGATTAGTCATCTTAATTTACTTGTTTCCCTCTGAAAATCCACTTTCATTGAGATCTAGTGGCTCCTTTTTTTTTTTTTTAATCTGCCTATTTTTTTCCAAATGAGTGCAGCTGGAATTAATGCAATAAATATGTTTTTTTTGACAAAGATTTCAAATTGTTTGTGGTCTATAACCTGTATCAGAATGAGGTTCGCCATGGTGCGCCCGAAGGCATGGGTTGAAGACCCAGTCAGTGACGTCACCATATGCAAATTTGTTTAAATTCATACTGACGTAATCACCATGACCAAAATTATCCTTTTTTTTTTTTTACATTGAATCTAGAAAAAAGAAATTAGACCTACCTACCGACCCTTTTTTTTTTTTTTTTGCTGTTACTGCAAACCAAAATATTTTTAAGGATGGCCTAACTTAGGGCCCTTTCACACCTACCTTGTTTGGTCCGGACTTTCGGACTTTTCAGTTTGGTCCGAATCAAAATTACAGGTGTGAAACCTACCCCAGACCATGGTCCGGACCAAACAGATGAAATTTGGTCCGACGAAAAGAGGTAGTCTCGGTCCGGATCAAACTGAACAAAGGCTTGGTTCGTTTCTAGTGTGAAAGTAAAGCATTTCTGTATGGTTTGGACTTTCAGAACTTTTACAAGAAGTTCCGGTGGTTCCCGCATAGCCGAAAAAAACAGAAGGTGGCAGGAAAAATGAGCCGTGGTAGCACATGGGGAGAGGAGGAGACAAGGTTTTTAATTGAAGTATGGTCTGATGACATAAGAACAGGGTATCCCCAGGATCCTCCAACTTAAATTCAAGGCTTTTTAAGACCTTTTTAATACCATTTCAAATGAAATTCAATGCCAACTTCGTACCCATTCCGACAGAAGTATGAGGGGAAAATGTCAAATCTGTATACATTTTAAACCCTAGAAACTAATTATGTACAAGGAGGCTACTTGAATTAAATAAAACATTTTACTTAAATTATCAGTCATATTTAATACATACGCAACAGCATTGTAGCGCGCACGTGTATGTAGGCCAGTGTTAATTTTGGCAGCCATTTTTGATTTACGAAAATGCTTATTGGTCTTAAATCACATTTGAATCATCCTGTTTTTTTATAGTTGTAGTTGACGAAAAGTCTTTGCATTTTTTTGTCAACTTTTAGTCAAACTGCAGTTACTTTACTTTTGGTAGTTATTTTATATGTAGTCTTTAGACAGAAAATGTCATAATAATTATTCTCTCTAGGCCAATTCAATTAAGCTTATGAGAAATTATTGACATTGCACTCTTTAGCAGTAGCACTTGTGCAGTTCTACATAATTTGGTTCTCCAATGTTTTAGAGTGCCGTACCCCCTGGTGCAGTCACACCTTTTCTATTAAGGGACAAGATTTGCCCCCTTTAATACATTTTTCCATTTCATTTTTTACCTTTGTAATACTTTAAAAAAAATAGCCTAATAATGCTTTAAAGGAGCTGTATGTAAGAAATTTATTTCAGTTAATCATAAAATGGCCCTGAAATGTCACTAGACATTAAGAAATCATGTACATTTCAAATACTTATATCACTGACAACAGTAGTCCGGCCAGGATATTGTCATTTAAAAAGTGAAGTTGCAGCCCTCAACTGATGTTGATGTTGTCATGTTGTGTTTTGGTCTGATGCTCCACCCTCCACCTATCAACCAATCACGAAGTCAGTAGTGTTGCGGCATCCGGGTTGCCAGCTCTGCTCTAGTTACCACAGCTGCAGCTCGTCACGTCCCTGCTGGATCCTGCAGCCGATCTGGCAACCTCGAGTCAGGGAGGAGGGGGAGGGGATACACCACTCTACAGTAATTTGACAGTGATTGCAGTACTAGTTTTGGCCACAATCTTACATACAGCTCCTTTAAATAAAACAATGTTCATTAAATTTGCAATGTTAAAAAACATTAAAATCGCCAGTAGGTGGCAGTACCTCACTATCTTTATGAGTGAGTCTTTGAGTCATTCATTCATTGAATCTCACGATTCGTTCAAAGCCACATATTTCGTTGCAAAACAGAGCAAGCCTGACAATTCTGTTTTAAATGTAGTACATCACTTAATGTTACCCTTTTTTCTTTTCTTTTTTACTGTTGTATGAAATCAATGTCACGTTTGAAATCGTGTGGGTATTCGGGAAACATTGCATTCTTGCTCTTATGAACACTGGTGGATATCAGCCTGCATTTTGATCGCAGATTTAGTCGCACAAACACCGCAAGCGGCTCGTGACAGAACACAGACCGGCTGAATGACACTTGAATTTCAGTAGAAAATCTTAAATAAAGATCGCTGAACTCCAGCTTGTCTGTGTTTTCAGATCATCCGCGCTTCTCCAGCAGTGTAGAGAGAACGTGCGCGCATGGTTGCCAGATACTATTGAAAAGACCGGGTAGAAAATATGTTCTTTTAACACAGTGTTTCTCAACCTCTCCTGCAGGGACCCCCTGACAGGCCATGTTTCTGTTTTAACCCTGAAATGGCACACCTGATTCAAGTCATTAAAGGCTTAATGAGTAGTTGACTAATTGATTAATTGAACTATTCCTACTCTAATTACTCATTAAGCCTTTAATTACTTGAATCAGGTGTGCCATTTCAGAGTTAAAACAAAAACATGGCCTGTCAGGGGGTCCCTGCAGGAGAGGTTGAGAACCACTGTTTTAACAGAAAAACTCTTATTTGGGGTTTAAATTCTGTCATTTGTGGCCACAGCGGATTAAACTAGGCTATCTTGTTCTGTACCTCACTTGCCTAGTTACCATAGTAACGGTGCGCACGCTATCGCTTTTTCTGCTATGACGTGGAGCGCGAGGTGCACTCAACACTGCATACATTTTGAATTAGCCTACATTAGTAACAGTTAATTTTGTTACGGTATGAACTTAATCCTAGCAAAGGCAAAAAAATATATAAGAGCTTTGTAACGAAATCCAAGACTTTGTATACTAAATTCAAGGCTTTTAAGGCCTTAATTTGAGATGATCAAATTCAAGACTTTTTCCCTGAAGTACCCTGAAGAAGTCAACTTGCAGTCTTCTCCTCCTTTCCTGCCGGCGACGATAAAATGTTCACACGACGAGGACGTTCATTTGGCGAATTTGCACTAGCCTTGTGTATAGTTGGTGCTGCAGGTAATTATGCCATAAAAATAACAATATAGTTGCAACGATATGCGTCTGTTCATTCATGTTGTCAAAGTTACCCGCCGAATTGACAACACGCTGACGTCAGCCGCACGTCCATTTACAAAACCAATCAATGTCAAGATGCAGCACACATAGATGATGACGATAGGACGCAAGTATGTCAAGTAAAGTTCTTTAGTGTGCTCGCATAATTGCAGTGTGAAACCAAACCAAAACTTTCTGAAAGTATAAAATGTATCAAAACGTGAACTTTGGTTCGGACCTTGGTGCGGACTTTCAGGTGTGAAAACGCCCTTAATTTCTACATCTGCCTCTATTTGCTTTGGGATTTTGTGGCTTTAGAGGATAAATGCATTGATCCACAACTGCACATTGAATTATTTGTCTAGTATATCTTTGCTTTGAGTTATGGGTTTAGGAGCATGGACACATTTGTTTGCATTTTGTTTTGTGGTTTAACTAGACTGTGGGTCTGAGATAACAAATTCCAGTGTCAGATCGCCACTCATTAGAACAAACAAAATGAAGACTCCTCCTTGACCAATGGAGATGCAGAATCATTCCTGTCGCAAGTCATTTCATAAAGTGGTGGGGACAAAAGCGGCCATGGAAAAATATAGTGACGGAAATATGGTAAATGACATCTATGGATTGAGTTCATTGTTAAAAGGCAAACTTGAAGTCATGGACCTGCCCAGATTTTTACTCACTACATTACACAACATTTTTGTTGAAGGTTTAAGAGTGAAAGGTGTAGTTGAGATGAAACTCACCAGAAATGATTGGGCTCTGCCATTGAAAGGCATGGGCTCTGTGAAGAACTCCGTGTCCTGCACAAGCCTCCCGTGACCCCCATATTGCAGCTCGTCCGAGTTCAATTTGATCTTATATCTGATACGAAACATGATCAAGGAACTGTAAGGAGATGCTCTTTGGTCTTGCGACATTTATCTCTCTCTTATTCTTTCCCTCCGTCTCGTCAAGAGTAGCTCAGGGACAGATGGTTGGTCGGATAATGATAAAGGCATGAGATGTGATGGATGGCTGTTCTGTTGAGTAACAGCTCAAGAAGAGAGGGAAGCCACCAGACAAATGACACACAAGACATGGATCTCTATCTACATCTCTGAGGTGAGACACATGCACATTTGCTGTCGTGAGAGACCTCTAATCAATGAGACAATGCATAGAGAAAACAGAAGAATACACTGCATAATACAGAATTATACAATTATAATAAAAATAGAAAACCAGCTTACTAGAATGATTTCTGAAGGATTATGTGACACTGAATACTGAAGAAAATTCAGCTTTGCCAAAGGAATAAATTACATTTGAAAATATATTCAAACAGAAAACAGCTATTTTAAACGGTATAATATTCACAATATTACTTTTTACAGTATTTTTGATATCAATCATAAAATAAAACATATATGCGTGTATTTAAAAAAAGAAATAAAGCAACTTACTTTGCATATTTGTTACATTTATGACAATTAACGCTACACAAATGATACCAGAAGTATATTGGAAGTGTTATGCAGCAATTTTGATGATAAATACCAGCTAGGTTTTTATTTGTGACCTTGTAATCGTCAGTGTCCCAATGTTTAGTGGATCAAGGACCCTGCTAGTGCCTGAATTCATGTATACCACGCACTGATTTATGATGTCAGAGGGAATTGGCATGGAGAGTTGAAGCAGTAAGTATACGTTATGTGTCACAAGGACATTTATAATTATAATGGCTAATCCATCTGAGTCTTTAGTCAAGGGTTTGTGTCTAAGGAACATATCTCACCCTTCTCTTCCCATGGAGAACCCCAGGCAATCCTCTACGCCCCCCCAATAGCTAACGCAATCATTAGCTACGACATAATTTACCCCCTACTGGAGCCGTGTTAGTGTGCATGTGTGTGTGTTCACAGTCAGACCAGTGAACAGGCTCCACACGGTGAAGAGAGAAGCCGGGGACACCACTCACTCGTCTAAACTATTGCATTATGGGAAGAGAAAAACTAATTAAAATACTACAGGTTAGTGCATTCTTATTATCAAACATCCCAGATGTAAATCACATAAAGTGCAGTTAAGATACAGCATCGTGCAAATTAATTAACACTTCAGATAAGCGCAAACTATGAACTTTTGGAGAGAACAAATTTCAGCTAAACATGTGTGCTGAAAATGAATGCATAGATCTGAACAGAAAAGTCCTGAAGGGCAAAGTGGCAAAAATTAAGTGCCTTTTCTTACATTAATGTTATATATTTTATGCGGGTCTAACATTATAACAAAACAGAAAATATTTTCTTTTTTGCATAATTTCTGCATATATTTTCAATGCCTGGAAGGGCAACTCATAAAACACATTTGTACATTTTATTGGCATACTGTGTCAATTTTTTTTCTTTTGGTCATAAGAATCCCTGAAGGTCAGAGTCAAAATAAGTAAAATAAATAAAATAAAAATAATTGGCAGATGCTAAATGTATAACAATTAGCATGAATAAATGAATCATTTGAATCATGAGTCATTTGCTACTGAAAAATTCTTTCTGACATTTGACCGCTGCTGAAGAGGTGAAACATCTACAAACTATGGAATATAACTCCCGTTATGCAACACAGTTTTAAGATGACTAAATGAATATATGTGCCTTCGCAGACTTACAATACATTAACCGCTTTTAAATCAGCGGTTCTCGACTGGTGAGTTTTATGGCGACGCTCGTAAAAGCTGCCAGCTGCTGGAGAGATTAGAGGAAGTCAAACACGTTTTTTTTAATTGTGAGCTGGATAAGAAGGGCAGGTGGCAAACTTATTCTAATTAAACCAGGCAATCTCTACTTTCAAAAATTATGGATCTGATCCAGACCCGACTTTCTCACTCCCAAGAGGTTAATTCCACTCCTTCAACAATCACACAAACAAAAACCTCACGGAGGAGGAGGGGGGGAAAAAGCATCAGGTTCAGGAATTGGCAAAGCACATCATTTTGGAGAGAGATTATATCCGCCGACTTGGCGTGATAGTTTTAAAATCGGCAATAAAAACGCTACGGCTCTGTGTAAAATTGGGGATTTGAGAGGGATTGTGGTTGAATCTAGTAAACAGACCACAGTGCCGTGTGCGCGAGCAGAACCTCACCCCTCCCAAGCAACCCCGCTGCTTGATTTTCAGAGAATTTCTGCATCTTTGGGGAGGTTGGAGGCAAAGCAATCTCTTTGTTCCTGCATGCTGTCATGTATTTCCAAAGCCTCTCCTCCTCGATCTGCTTTTCCTCTTTCCTACTTTCCCCTCGGTTGTTTGGAAAGGGGCTGATTTCTCTTTGAGCTACACCCCACTAGCTCCGAACGGAGGACGATATTTTCCACCAGGCTCCTCCACTTTTCTACGGAAGGATTGAGCGACTCTTGGGGAAGGAATCGGGGGTCCACACCACAGGAAGCACTCTGGTGAATCAACACAGCCGTGGGCCATTCACCTAAACTCCTTGAACTGTAGAAAATCTAATATCCTAAATCTAAAATCTATACCCACATGACCTTCTCTCGCTCTCTCTCTTTATCTGTTTGAAAGTTTTCTCCACCTCGACCGACTCTCTCATTTCAAACACAGCTTATCATTTCTCTCTCTAGCCAATTCACCCTTTTTTAAAGCTCCTAAATGTATTTTTTCCTATACTTTAATTCTGCCCTTAAATCACTGTTCAGACAATAACAACAGCCCTGGAAGCTCTTGTTTCATAAGATTCATGTCTGCTATCATCTCAGTGTAGATAAACTATTTAGTTACTTTCATTCTAGGACTATGCAAATTGTCTCTGTACCAACCCTGGGTTCACTGTGTGAATAAGATTAATGTTTGAATCTTATGATAGCTTCTAAAGCTTTAATCAATCACCATTAAATCAACATTAGACAATCAAATCAATTTCTCCCATTTGTTTTGAGTCCAATTGTTTGTTTGTTTTTATCAAAGGCTATATGTTTAGAATGGTATACTAGTGCACTGCTACACACAGTGTACTGATTACTATTTGTTATACTTGTGAATGTGAATGATGATTCAAACTACTGTATATTACAGAGCCCCTAAGGGGGCATGGTGATGGGAAAAAATGAAATGGGAGGAAAAATTTGATTTCAATGCTTTTGCGTTCTCTCGCAAAAGTATTGCGTTCCCCAAAGGAACTTTTCATTTGCTTGGAAAACATTTGCGTTCTAGTAAAAGTTTTGCATTGAGCATTGAGATGAATGTGTTTTTTTTTTTTTGTTTACCATCATTTCCATTTTGGGGCTCCGTATTACATTGCTGTCACATGACCATTTAAAACTTTTTTTTTAAATAAATGGTTACCTTGATGTTTAACTCATTGACCCACAATTGAAAATTGCAATTTTTCACCAAATATGGGCAAAAAGCATATAACAACAGTACACACTCTAAAATGTCTCATAGCAACCCGTTTGCCAGGACAGTATTTATATATACTGTATATATATTTATATTCATATATTTATTTGAATCACCCAGCATGCCAGTCACACAACATGGTCACTGCCTATACTGACTAAAATCTTTCCAAATATTGTAAATAAGTATTCCACATAAGTATTTTACAGTTCTCAGCATATTAAGGGATAGAAAATTCATTCCAGCAATATACATAAACTGCTCTGGAATTAAATTATCCAAAATTCAGCCTCATAGCTTGCTGGGAAAGTCTCTCCAGGAATTGAAAACCTGCTTGCATACTGAATTATAACACTTTTCTATAACACTTTTCCCCAAATAAAATATGAATACATAGCAATATTATTTTATAACTAATGACTTCCTGGAAAAAAAAAACAATGCCAATGCTTGGGTCTCACAGCCAGGGTTTAATTTTGTGTAAATATATCTTAACTTTATACTAATGAGTCAATAATGAGATGTAATAAGAGTAGCGTCCTGTGGTGGTGTGTGATTTCAAACACAGCCAGAGAATAAGATTGAGCCCAAGGCCATAAAAAGACTACAGCATGTATTTGTCAAAGAATTAATGCTTTTGTTTCAGTCAGTGCAGTGGTCATGCGTGCCCTACGAATATGTAACATTACATCTGTAGCCTTTTACCTCAACTTTGTGCATTAGTCTTCATGAATAATGCAGAGAAAAGTTTCCCAAGGACTAAATCCTGCCATCGTGGATATACAGCTCTCTGAGTTGAAGACGGTGCTTTCTCTCAGCACCCCAACTGATCTAAAGATAACTTGCCCCCGGACACGTTTTAACTGGGGAACCCTTAAGTCTGCTGTAGACCTGACTGCACTCTCTAGACTCTCTGTAGGGATAGAGTCCGGATGACTTATTTCCTTTTATGCTTCTCTGAGTGTGGTTGGACTTTGTAAATGCGACTTACTGTGCATGTAAACCCAACAGAAGAAAAACTGCAAAAAGTTATTATCCATAATATTAAAATAAAATAATAAGAAATACGCATGTGACCCATGCAGTCAAAATGCGTCGGAATGCGCACGGGCTAATTACGAGCTACAGGCAGTTTGCAGCATTCCAACTTTGTGAATATTCACAGCGAATTCTCGATGGCATGAGTCTGAACCAATGAAATGTGATTTTCAAATGTTGATGTAAACAAAGCGATCTTACTTGCGCTGACTGACATATCCGATGCGTGTGCACAAAGACAGCGCGCGGTCCCGATATACACATATACACAGAATTATAGTATTTCAAAATATCTGTCTTCATGAGTATTCACGCAAACATGATCTGTTATGTCTTAAACTTATTTGGTTAACCTTTGGAGAAAAACATTTGAAGTGTAACATTATATTAGATCCGTGCGGTACAGTAGTCTACGGTCTCATTAATGTTAA